ACATTGTCCTCTTTCTCTCCCCTCTCTCTGTCCTTTTCCCCCTTTCTGTTCTCTTTCTATCCCATCTCCCTCTCCGTCTGTCTTCTCTCTCTCCACCCCCGTCCTCTCCCTCTGTTCTCTCTCTTTGTCTGTTCTCTCTCTTTGTCTGTTCTCTCCCTTTGTCTGTTCTCTCACTCTGTTCTCTGTCTTTGTCTGTTCTCTCCCTCTGTTCTCTCTCTCCCTCTGTTCTCTCTCTCCCTCTGTTCTCTCTCTCCCTCTGTTCACTCCCTCTGTTCTCTGTCTTTGTCTGTTCTCTCCCTCTGTTCTCTGTCTTTACCTTCTATTGTCTCCTAACAGCCCCAAAGCTCCACCGGGTCTTCTCTGCAAGGGATGCACCAAAGATGGACTGGGACAGGAGTGTGATGACCAAAAGGATATTAGACCTCACCTTGGAGATAATTTACCTGCTGACCGGAGAGGTGAGGAGGATTCTGGGAGGGTCACATGACATCACTGTTATCTCTCTTAATCAAACGTGACTGGAGGGTTGAGAAGGATTTTGGGAGGTCACATGACATCACTCTTACCTCTATTCATAAAACACAGACCTGACCGGAGAGGTGAGGAGGGTTCTGGGAGGTCACATGACATCACTCTTACCTCTATTCATAAAACACAGACCTGACCTGAGAGCTGCGTAGGATTCTGGGAGGTCACATGACATCACTCTTACCTCTATTCATAAAACACAGACCTGCCCGGAGAGGTGAGGAGGGTTCTGGGAGGTCACATGACATCACTCTTACCTCTATTCATAAAACACAGACCTGCCCGGAGAGGTGAGGAGGGTTCTGGGAGGTCACATGACATCACTCTTACCTCTATTCATAAAACACAGACCTGACCTGAGAGCTGCGTAGGATTCTGGGAGGTCACATGACATCACTCTTACCTCTATTCATAAAACACAGACCTGACCACAGAGTTGAGGAGGATTCGCGTGACATCGCTCTTAATTATTTGTTCCTTTTTCCTCCTATCTAGAAATATGCAGCAGTGAAGATGGTTTCTATTGAAGGTCTCTTACAAGGAATGCATCCACCTGTCCCTGAAGGGTGGGGCAGGGACCAGAGCCCCATCTTGGAGCCTACACCTCACTCTGTGAGATGTGAGAAGAACAATGCTAAGAAGATTTTAGAAGTCACCCAGAAGATCATTGATCTGCTGTCAGGAGAGGTGAGCGGTGCCGGGAATTCTGGGACATTATCCAGGAACAGACAAGGGATGTGACTGGATGGTGACTGTATCATTGTGTATGTCAGGTTCCTATAAGGTGTCAGGATGTCTCTGTCTATCTCTCCATGGAGGAGTGGGAGTATCTAGAAGGACACCGGGATCTCTACAAGGACGTCGTGATGGAGAATGAGCCGCCCCTCACATCACCGGGTAAGAGGAGAGAGCAGTACGGAGGGTCCACCTAGATCCCCCCATCATCTGATACACACATAGAAACAATGTATTCAGTCAGTGTGTGTGTTTCCTACAGATGGATCCAGTAAGAGGAACCCACCAGAGAGATGTCCCCGTCCTCTGTATTCCCGGGATTCCACACAGGAACATCATGAGATCCCTCACCATGATCAGGTGAATAGAACTGAGATTCTCCCCGAGAGTAAATTAGTTTACCATCTTCTCTGTTCTGTGTTCTTATTAGTCCCAATTCATTGTTCAGGGTGACGTTTTGAATGATGGGTCAGTGCCATGTGTAGAAGAAGAGCCATTTTCAGTGCCTGATGACCGACGTCTGCAGGAGGATATCCCTTCAGAGATCAGCAGAGGTGATTTGTTATTTTACATGTTACTAGATATTCCCAGGAGATCAAAAGCTGAAGCCTATGTTCTTGATTGTCTACATAATTGTGGATTCATTTTTCTTGAGGTTTCTGAAGGATTTCCAGACTTGCTACTTTTTCTTCTCCTCTATCTGTGCAGTCGTTCTGTCCCTGGTGGTCACGTTTGGAACACCTTGCTAGAGATAGCCAGTGATGTCCTCCTGAAGGCTCACATTCGCTTCCCATCAATGAGACCTGTTCCTTGTAAGGACGACTTGCTTTGAATGTGATGATTCTGATTCACCCTGAGCCGTTCTGTAATCTCAAAAAGTCCAAGATTTTAATAGAGAAGGAAAACATTGTGATGTCTCGTTACCAAACATGGAAAGATTTCAATGTTGTTTTCCCCGCAGATGGACACCACAGAAGATCAGAGGAAAGTGTCACTTGTGACATGGACGGCGATGATGATGTTGTGCAAGATTCTCAAGGAGGAAAGCCTGCTGACCCCAATATCCATCAAGGATCTCACTGTGCAGATAGATCAACAGATCCCTCGAATTCCAAGAAATTTTTTCCTGAGCAAGAATGTGCCGTTATGCTAAACATCCATGCAGGACTTCAAAGTGTGGATAGCACACCCAGACCCTCCAGTAATGAGGAATCTTCTCCTATGGAATTGCAAACCATTGGCCCAAATATCATTTTAGAACTTAGCAGATCACCTCATCCCTCTTTCCCAGATGAACCTCCAGATAAATTGCATACCGCCCCAGATATCCGTCCAGAACTTCACAGTTCGGAATGGTCACCACATCCTATTATTCCCCAAGAATCTTCTCTTGATGTATCCCATACTCTCAACCCAAATGTCCATCTGCAACTTCAAAGTGAGGATAGATCGCTGGATATCACCAATCCTGAGGAACCCACTCATGATCAAACCCATACTACTACCTCAACTATCAGTCCAGGGCTTCAAAATATGAATAGATCACCAGATTCTAAGGTAACTTCCTCTTCTGAGTCACATGCCATGAAGGTCCAAATGTTGGCTCCAAATATCTATTCAGCATGTGATAGTTCTCTCCATAGTTCACATGGCTTTGCCCTAAATATCCATCCAGGACTTCACAGTGTGGAGGGGTCAGCGGATCTCCCTAATCCCAGTGAATCTATTCCAGATCATTCAGATTCTTCTACCCTACATATGCATCCAGAACTACCCGTTCCCTTCAATCCTGAGTTATGCCATGCTATGAATTCACAAACTGTTACCCCAAATATCCATTTAGGATTTCAAAGATCACTCGATCCCTGTTATCCTGATGAACTTTCTGCTAGATCACGTGCTACTCCAAATGTCAATTCAGGACCTTACGGTGCGGATAGACCACCAGATCCCTGTTATCCTCATGATTTTTCTACTAGATCACATGCTACTCCAAATGTCAATTCAGGACCTCACAGTGCGGATAGACCACCAGATACACATCGTATCCCAAATGTCCATGCTGGACTTCACCATGCGGATAAAACATCAGATCCTTCCAGTCTTGGGATCTCTTCTCTTGTGACATTACATACTGTTGGACCAAATATGCATTCATCACTTAACAGATCACCGGATCCCTCTGACCCTGATGAATCTTGTGATAAGATACTTCCTGCCGCAAATCTCAATCTAGGATTTCACTCTTTATCCGGATCACCACATTTTTCTAATCCGGAGGAATCTGTTCATGATCAATCCCACTCTGTCACTCCGAACATCCATTCAGATCATCACAGTCCAGAAAGATCAACGGATCTCATGAATCCTGAAATTCTACATACTGCCATCCTAGATATTTATGGAGAGCTACCTCGTGTGGATACACAGAATTCTCAGGAATCCTCCTCCATGAGTTCTCATGTCGTTATCGGTTCAGAACTAAACCGTTCTCTGGATCCCGCTTATCCGGATGAATCTTCTGCATCATCACATGCTGCTCAAAATATCCATACAGGTTTTTACAAGGCAGATGGATTACTAGATTACTCTAGTCCCGGGGCATCTTCTCTCCTGAAGCCACATACTGTTAGCTGGAATGTCCATTCATTAACTAACAGATCACCAGATCCCGCTTACTCTGTTGAATCTTCTGAACAATGCCATACTGCCCCAAATATCAACCCAGGACGTCACGCTACGAACAGATCACCACATCACACGAATTCTGGGGAATATTCTCTTGACATAGTCCACACTGTCAATCCAAACGTCCATCACAGTGCAGATAGTTCAATGGAGATCACAAATCCTGAGGAATCCACTGAAAAACCACACACTGACACCCCAGATATCCACCCAGGACATCACAGTGTGAATAGAACATCAGATCCTGTGGGGTCCTGCCCTATGAAGTCCGTTATTGTTACCCCAAAAATCTATTCAGAATATAAAAATTCATCGGATCCATCTTATTGTGACGAATCTGCTGGATCACACAGTGCTCCAAATATCCATTCAGGCCTACAGACTGCAGATCGATCACCAGATCCCCTTCTGCCAGAGCGTTTGTCTTCCAGCAAATTACTTGTTGTTACCTTAAATGTCCGTCCAGAATTTCATTGCGTGGATAGGTCACCTTGTCCCTCTCACCCCGAGAAATACTCTCCCATGAAGTCACATATTATTAGTCCAAATATCCGTTCGTTACGTGGGAGGTCACCTGTTTATTCTCTTCCTGATGAATCTGCTGACAAATGCTATACTGCCCCAAACAGCACTCCAGAACTACATAGTCCAGGCAGGTCACTGCATCCTTCTTATCCCGCGGAATCTTCTCTTGATATAACCCATGCTGTCAACCCAAGCATCCACTCAGGACTTCACAGTGTGGAGAGAACATTGGATCCTGAGGTATCTTCTCACATGGAGTCAAACACTGTCGCCCCAAAAATTCATTCACTTAACAGACCCCTGGATCTCTATTACCTCGAATCTACTGCTAAATCACATTTATCCACAAATGTCCATGCAGAATATCACAGTGAAGAGAGATGGTCGGATTCCTCTGTTGCTGTCCAATATCCTTTCAGTGCATCACTTAGTGCTACCTCAAATGTCTATCCAGAACTTCAAAGTGTGAATGGATCACTCCACTCCTGTCAATCTAAGGAATCCTTTCCCATGAAGTGCCCCATGATTGATTCACTTAACAGATCACCAGAACCTTCTTATCCTGATGAATTCACTGCTAAATCTCATTCATCCCCAAATATCCATGTAGGGCATCATATTGAAAATAGATCACTGGATCATTCCACCGCTGACCAGAATCCTTTCAATGAATCACTTAGTTGTACCTCAAATGTCCGTCCTGAACTTCAAAGTGTCAATATATCACCCAAGCCCTCTCATTCTAAGGAATCCTCTTTCATGGAGTTATGCACAGTTTATTCTAATATCCATTCGCGTAACAAATTACCGGATCCCTATTATGCTGAAGAATCTTCTGCTAAATCTCAAACGTCTCCAGATATGTATGCAGGATATCACAGTGCAAATACTCCGCCAGATCCTTCCATAGCTGAGCAACTTCCTCCCGATGTGTCGCCTAATGTTAAGTCACATGTCCACCCAGAACGTCACAGTGTGGATAGAGCACCCAACCCTTCTCATTCGAAGGAATCCATGTCCATTGTTTCTCCCAGTATCAATTCACCTAAATCACCAGATCCCTATCGTGATGAACCTACTGCTAAATCACATTCATTTTCAGATGTGCATGAAGGACATCATAGAGAAAATAGGTCAACAGATCACTCCGTGGTTGACCAGCGTTCTTTCAATGAATTACTTCGTTGTACCTCAAAGGCCTATCAAGAACTTCACAGTGTGGATAGATCACCCAACCCTTCTCATTCTAAGGAATTCTTGTCCATTGTTTCTTCCAGTATCAATTCACTTAAATCACCAGATGCCTATCGTCCTGATGAACCTTCTGCTAAATCACCTTCATCTTCAAATATGCATGAAGGACATCCTAGAGAAAATAGATCAACAGATCACTCTATGGCTGTCCAACGTTCTTTCAATGAATTACTTCGTTGTACCTCAAAGGCCTATCAAGAACTTCACAATGCAAATAAATCATCCAACCCCTCTCCTTCTAAAGAATCCTTTTCCATGGAGTCACACACTGTTTCCCCTAATATACATGCACCTAACAAATCAGCCGATCCCTATTTTCCTGAGAAATCTTCTGCTAAATCACATTCATTCCCAAATATGCCTGCAGGACATCACAGAGAAAATAGATCACCAGATCCATCCATTGCTGACCAACGTTCTTTCAATGAATCGCTTAGTTGCACCTCAAAGGTCTTTCAAGAACTTCACAATGTGAAAAGAACATCCAACTCTTCTCATTCTACAGAATCATTTTCCAAGGAGTCACACCCTGTTTCTCCTAATATCCATTCACTTAGCAAATCACTGGATCCCTATTATAATGATAAATCTGCTAAATCACATACGACTCCAATTATCTATGCAGGATGTCACAAAGCAAATAACTTGCCAGATCCCTCCATAGCTGAGCAATGTCCTCCCTATATATCGCTTCGTGTTGATTCAAATGTCCACCCAGAACATAACAGCATGGATAGATCACCCAACCACTCTGCTCCTAAGGAATTATTTTCCATGAAGTCACATACTCTCACCCCAAATATTGGTTCAGCATTTCAAAGTACTGAAAGATCATCAGGCCCCTCAAATCCTGAGGGATATTCTATTGATGCACCACATACAGTTACCTCAATTATTCACAGCTCCGATAGATCGCTGGATCCAAACTCTAACCCTGAGGAACCTTCAATCAAAGTTCATACTATCTGCCCAAATACTCCTCCAGAACTTCACAGAGTGGATAGATCACCAGCTCCTGAAGTGTCTTTTCATGTAAAGTCACAATCTGTTACCCAAGAAACTCTTCTAGAACATCACAATGTAGAAAGCTCACCCCGTCCCTCAAATCCCAAGGAATCTTCTTCCATGGAATCAAACACCATTACCTCAAATAGTCTTCCAAAACATGCTGACGGATGTCAAGTTGCCTCTGGCCTTCAGAAATCTTCTCAAGCTGTCACCCTAAACATCCATCTTGAACCTCACAGTGCTGACTGCTTACCCTATAATCCCAAAGAATTTCCCCCCGATAAGTCACACGCTATTACTCCAACTATCTATCTAGAACTGAAGAGGAGCATGGATAGATCGCCCAAATCCTCTGAGCCTGAGAAATCTTCTTCGGAGAAGTCACATGATGCTGTCCCAAAAATCCATTTAGAACCTCATAAGGCTGATCGATCCCCAGATGCCTCAAATACTCAGAAGATCTCTTCTGTGAAGCCATATTCTGTTACCCCAAATATTGGCTTGGCACTTCATCAACCACGGGACGTCTCTAATTTTCAAGAGCACGCTCAAAATAAGTCACATGCTCTTACCGCAAATATTAGTTCTGGATTTAACAATGCGGACAGATCACCTGATCCCTCGGATCCTAAGCAGACGCTTCCCGACAGATCAGTTCTTGTGTCCGGTAAAACAGAGCAAAATGGTTTCACGAAATTTTCCTGTTCGGTATGTGGTCGTTGTTTTAGACGCCAGTCCATATTTCTTAAACATTGGGAAATGTACTGTGGAAAAATGTTAAGAAAAAAGTCTCGCCTGAAGCGCCCTGGTAAGATACGACCGGGTAAAAAGTCAACTCCACCTGCCAAACGGAGAGACATTTTTAAAAAGAAGGCAGTTGTCCTCAAAGAACCAAATACCAAGACGTCTAAGACGTCGTTTAAATGTGCTGAGTGTGGGAAATTCTTCTCGCAGAAGTCCAATCTTCTCCAGCATCGCAGAATACATACAGGTGTGAAGCCGTTTTCCTGTCTCCACTGTGGCAAGTGTTTCACCAAGAAAATAAGTCTGGAGACTCACATCAGAATTCATTCTGGTGAAAGGCCATTCTCGTGCTCGCGGTGCAACAAATCTTACGCCCAGAGGGCACACCTCGACCGCCACAAAAAAACGCACACAGGAGAGAAACCCTACACGTGTCCCGAATGCAGTAAATGTTTTCTTCAGAAATGTGATCTGGTCAAACACAGGAGAATCCACGCCGGACTGAGGCCTTATCAGTGTTCTGAATGTGGGAAGACTTTCACAGAGACTTCAGGTCTTAGAAGGCATCGAAAACTTCACCAGTGAGAAATGGCTACATTTGTGGTCTCCAGGAGACCAAATCTTGTTCATCACAAGGGAGAAGCTGGACGTTCGATCATTAAAGGTAGGGATGTTCCAATACCAATACTAGTATCGGGACCGATACCAGGCATTTTCACGTGTATTTGTATTCGTGAAAATGCCCCGATTCTTAAGGCCGATACCGGCCCTTTAAATTTTCAAACAGCAGCGGCCATCCGAGTTCCCGCGCTTGTGGGGACCTTGGCAGCCTGCCCGGTTCTTCATCTCCTCCTTCCCGGCGCAGACACTGCCATGGACAGCTCAGGGGGCGGAACTACCACCCCAGGGCTAGAAGCTGGGGGTTCCCGCCGCACACTGATGGGGAGGACTGGGCCGGGAAATGGATGAAAGTCGCCACTGCAGATGTCCATGTCGCTCGGGTGTGATCGACACGCAGCCTGGTGAGAAGAATTCTGCTGTGGGGACATGTATTCAGTTCTGGTGACATCCGTATTTAGCCCTGGTGAGAAACTGCCCTAACATCATCAGTCTGTGTTGTTTCAGAAAAAAAGTCACCTGTCCCTTTAAGAAAAAGTATCGGTAATTGGTATCGGCAAGTACATGAGGGACAGTACTTGTACTTGGTCTTAAGTGGTATCGGGACATCCCTAATTAAAGGAGACCATTCCATATCCAATGTGGAGGACATTTCTAGAAAAGATTAGACCTTGTGAAGAATAAGGTAAAAGCCATCTACAAACTCACCCGTGGAGGTGACAACCAAAAGTCCAAGGTGGAGGGAACAGTGCCAAGAACAACATGAAGAAGACATCAGCACTTAGACCCCCAGGAGGTTTACGAAGCCAGCAGTTGACTGAGCCAAGTAGACCCCAACTATAAATGCACAAAACATTGTTTAACTTTTTTAATTTATATTTAACCTTTGCTAGAATGTTTTAGGGGTTTTTTTGCCTGTTTTTATTCATGAAGACCACACAAATATTGCACTGGAGGCATGTTTGTTGTTTTTAAAATGTTATTTTTTTTGGTTTTATACAACACTATTGAGATGCATGGGCTTTGGGAGTCGGATGTGAATACTGAAGTCATCCATGAGTCCGCGCTTTCTCAATACTGCAAATGACCCGATGAGCCATATATGTCCACTTGCTTCATAAACTGGTTTACTACTGATAATAGTTAAGATGCTATCAAATTGTATCTATATATAT